TGCTGCTATAGACTGAAGACTCTACTCTTATAGTGAGGGCTGGTTCAGACTGACCTGGGACCAGCTGCTAGTTCTGCTGCTATAGACTGAAGACTCCAAGATTAAAGTGAAGTCTACCTGTCTCACCTGTCTCAAGATTAAAGTGAAGTCTACATGTCTCACCTGTCTCAGATTATGTCTCAAGATTAAAGTGAAGTCTACCTGTCTCACCTGTCTCAAGATTAAAGTGAAGTCTACATGTCTCACCTGTCTCAAGATTAAAGTGAAGTCTACCTGTCTCACCTGTCTCAAGATTAAAGTGAAGTCTACCTGTCTTACCTGTCTCCGGACACAGTGATGAGGTGTTTGCAGTCCTGACTGAACCTCATACAGGTGACGATCTCTAAAGAAATAGAAATCAAACATCAGAAGAAGAGAGAAACTCCAGACCTCAAACACAGATCCACTGATTTTCTCACCTGAGTGTCCGAACAAGGTGGCGACACACTCTCCGGACTCGTAGTCGAAGATGGAGATGTTTTTATCGGAGCAGCTGGTGGCGAAGAAGGACCCAGACGGATCCATCTGAACCTGCAGATCAACACCATGTATCAGCCAATCACAGGGCAGAATCAGTACGGTCATTACAGGGCTCAGTAGAACACATGATTCTGATTGGTCCTTGTGGATATTCTGCGGTGTGTTATTTCTGTATAACAGACTGCTGCACAGAAAGAAGTACGGTCAATTGAATAACCTCCTTTTTCTGTTACTCCATCAGAAACACGATGGAATCCTTTTTTCATTTTCATTTGTATATTACAAAAGGTCTCTACTAGTAGCTTAGGCCTCTTAAAAGCAGGTGGATATCATGACACCATATTAAGGTCATCTGTTCCAATGTTTTGTATGATTTTCACACTATTTTTCAGGATATGACAATACGTAGTGAATTTGATCAGGATCATGTTAACAGAATATTAACAGTTGTTAGACACTTTTATCCAAAGAGACTTACTGTGGGCAATCTCTACAGGAGCAACTTGAAATGTGAAGATTTAATACTGCTTTTCTTGCAGTTTAAACCCATTTTCAGCTGTCATAAAAGGTATATAATGTTATAAAAGTACTGGTTTCAGCTGTTGAACCTGTGACACATTGATGGATGTAGTGAAGATCAGATAACAAAATAATGAGCTAACCTTCAGCAGAGCTCCTTCGTCGCTGGAGGAGCCTTTCAAACACTTCTTCAGCTTCCCCGTCTCCACGTTATACACCCTAAGAAAAACACTCAAATCAGCTTCAGTGTTCAACACCTGATCATAAATACTTCTTAATTATTCACTCATCTCTATTTCAAAGTAAGACTCTCCTTTGTGATGAAGCTTATAGTGAGGGCTGGTTCAGACTGACCTGGGACCAGCTGCTAGTTCTGCTGCTATAGACTGAAGACTCTCCTCTTATAGTGAGGGCTGGTTCAGACTGACCTGGGACCAGCTGCTAGTTCTGCTGCTATAGACTGAAGACTCTCCTCTTATAGTGAGGGCTGGTTCAGACTGACCTGGGACCAGCTGCTAGTTCTGCTGCTATAGACTGCAGACTCTCCTCTTATAGTGAGGGCTGGTTCAGACTGACATAGGACCAGCTGCTAGTTCTGCTGCTATAGACTGAAGACTCTCCTCTTATAGTGAGGGCTGGTTCAGACTGACCTGGGACCAGCTGCTAGTTCTGCTGCTATAGACTGAAGACTCTCCTCTTATAGTGAGGGCTGGTTCAGACTGACCTGGGACCAGCTGCTAGTTCTGCTGCTATAGACTGAAGACTCTCCTCTTATAGTGAGGGCTGGTTCAGACTGACCTGGGACCAGCTGCTAGTTCTGCTGCTATAGACTGAAGACTCTCCTCTTATAGTGAGGGCTGGTTCAGACTGACCTGGGACCAGCTGCTAGTTCTGCTGCTATAGACTGAAGACTCTCCTCTTATAGTGAGGGCCTGTTCAGACTGACCTGGGACCAGCTCCTAGTTCTGCTGCTATAGACTGAAGACTCTCCTCTTGTAGTGAGGGCTGGTTCAGACTGACCTGGGACCAGCTCTTAGTTCTGGTGTTTCTTGTTTCTCACCTGATGTTTCGGTCCTGGCAGGCGATGGCGACGTGAGTCCGGGTTGAATCCAGGTCCATGTCGTACAGCGTGGTTTTCTCCACCACGTGGTGACTCCGAGAGAACGACGGACCCTCGGCCGTCTGCAGAGAAAACACGGAGGATTTTAACCTCTAGTTTGTGAAGCGTATTATGAGCAACAGAAACATTTGGAAATGTCTCGATGCAGACTTACACGTTATTACAATCATAAACACACTTCAGAAAAACACTTCCAATATTTGTCCATAACTCCGCCCGCTGTGGATCAGCGTAAATCCCCAGGCCTTCAGTCCCCATATAATATATTTAAAAAAAGCAATATCTGCAGAAGTACCAAATACTTTCTCTAAAGTTTTTCAGATGTTAAGACTGAACGAGAAGCTTTTATTATTCTAACTTATGGTCGCAAAGGCTATGAGAATTATGTAAAGTATCTATCCATCTATCTATATACTAGATCAATAAATAAATATATTTCGTAAAGATGTGTCTCCGAGTGAACCCTTCAGTGTGTGCAGACCTGCTCGGCGGTCTGGAAGTAGATGCTTTTGTCGGCTCCACAGCTCACCATTCGGACCTCCGGACTCTCACCTCAAAAAGAAAATTATCAAGTAAAAATAACCAACCATGTTGCCAAATATCCAAAAACTAAAGGCCTGCTTAACACTCCAACAGTTTATAACACATTCCAGCCTGATGATGACAGCTTACCTTCTCTACACCGCCTCGTTCACACATTAAATCAACAATACAGATTCTACATTTCCTCCATTTGAGATTGAAAGTGCTCACAGGTTTAACACCTCTTATGAAATGTAGAAGACATTTATCACGGAGTTTATCTCCAACAGACTCTCAGATCGTTTTCTACTGAGAGAAATGCAAAATGCATGAAGTATGTCACAACGCTGTGGATTTTCTAAATACAGTAAATCTATGTTTGCAGGCCGGAGTTTAAAATGAACTCAACTTTAAACACAAGTTAATTACCGTAATTTTCGGACTATAAGCCGCACTGGACTATAAGCCGCAGGTGTTTTAATGTTTAATTACCATATGTAAGGGTTCGTG